TTTTTTAAATAAAATAATAATTCCTATTAATTAAAATAAAGCTGGCAGACAGATCTTGTTAAATACTGATGCCCTGTTAATGTTTTTACTTAATACCTTGGACTTCTTGGCATGTCAGATGCTTATAGAAATACYCAATCTAGAGTGGTCATGTTTGCTGTTCATTTTTGAGAGCTTGTTTTCTTGGCTGTGTCCCATTCCCTAAAGGTATTTCATCTTCTCTRTTTGTATGCTTTTGGCCAGGGGTGCAAACAAAGCATCCTTTTTCTTCTGAAACTGTTTTCCATCTAAAGAAAACARTTTTGATGAATAGATCTAGCTTAGCATTTTCAAAACTGCTCTGAAAAGTGCTGCCTCAGAGGAAACAATTCTGTCAACTTAGAGTCTACCCTGAGAAATTCTGCAGTTATTGATGAGTTATGGTCTAAGTCAGCAAAGAAGGAAGTAATGTGCTTGATTAAATTTGCAATATTGTGTGTGTATGCAAGTGAAAATTTCCCTTGTGTTGSTACTTGTGAGTGATATCAGGTGATACTGATGAGTTTGTGTAAAAATTGAGTCTTCAGAAGTTTAGATTGAAAWTACAGATTTTATTACCTGTGATGAATTCCTTGTAAAACTAGGTGAAAACAGACCAATTGTGTCATGGTGGGGTAACTGTGGGATTATTACTTTATTGCTCAGCTCCAGCACTCAAAAATTAGTCATTTATCCCTTTCTAAAAGAAGTGGCTGGTGGTGAAGCAGGTGTGTGTGTGATGCAGATATAATTAACTGTGTTTTTAATTGTTGTCATGTGACTGCATTTTTCTGGTGAGTGTTGCTATGCAGCCTGTGGATCTATCCAGTAAAATTAAAACAAAAATTCTTTAGTTGGAGTGATGCAGGTAGATGAGATGAACCTAATGTGAGTTTTCAGACACCCCTGTGTGTCTTAAAATATTGTTTAAAACTATTACAAATGTTTAAAACTGGCACAGGGAGGGGCAGGGTGCCAGAGTAGGTGGGTAAAAACTTTCTGAAGGAAGAAAACGAGGAGAGCAAACAAATCAGAGGGACGTGTGCTGCATGGGAAAGAGAAAGGAGGAATAAGAGAAGTGAGCAGAAGAAATAACAGGAACCTGCRGCAGTTGTATAATGGTGCTATGAATAATACATACCTGGGATGATTAGGAGAAATTAATGTTTGTGCAGTACTTCACRTATGTGAAGTRCTCTGGAGTACTAAATATTTTTATTACTTTCATTGTGGCATTTTGTTATCAGCAGAACTATTTCAAATTTCCTGCTGTTGTTTGGGCACAAATGGGCACATTCAGTGGAGAATAATCGCCGGGAAAAATATTTCCAAACTTTGTTGGTGRTACAGGCAAGATCTTAATGGAGGGAGTGACTTGGTGACTGTTTTTCCTCTAAATATTGTCTTTCCTTACAAATTTTCACTTCAGCACTGATTTGCAGAGAGAAATCAGCTCAACGAGATGCAGAGACACCTTGTGAGGTTTTTGATTACAGGTGACTCGATCTTTTGGGAAAAAGCTGCCAGTTTTMTACCTTAATAGAATTTCTTTTCCTTTTGTTGTCCCTGTTCTCTGTTCTGCATGCCCTGATTTCCWTTCACTGTGCTGTGGCAGCTCAGGCTCCTGTGGATTTCAGTGGAACTTTGGGGTTGGATTAAGACCAGAGAACTGCTGCTGCCTCCCCTCCCATCCCCTCCCTCACCTCCAATTGCAGGGGAGGACACACAGATGCCTGGGCAGTAACTGCTCCAGCTGACACAGAATTCACCCTGCATCTCCTTCATCTTCTCCTGGAATCAGAGATAATGCAGGAAAAACAGCTAATTCACCAATTCCTTTTTCCATCCCAAGGTGGCTGGAGAAGCAGCAGGGAGGGAGGAATGTGATGAGCCTCTTCCCTGAGTGCCTGCTGCCTGCCTGCTCTGCAGCCTCAGAACTGCTGAGTTCCACTTTAGTCAGGCCCAGTAAGGRCTTTTTTTTTTTTTTTTTAATTACCAAACTTGCCTCTTAATTAAACTTTTTTTTTTGTTCTTGTCAGAGCAGAATGCAGCAGTCTTGTGGTTCCATTCTCTTAATTTGAATGCAGATTTTAACCGAGGCAGCACTTGGTAATGAATAATCTGCTTTGCTRTTTAGCAGTCATAAACAAAACCCAAACATCTCTGCCCTGGGAGGACAGA